GGTGCAGCAACGTAGTTAAGGGAAGGGGAGAAGGGGGGGAAGGAGGGGAAGAGGGGGAAAAACAAAACAAAACAAACAAAAAACCCAAAATAATAGGGAGGGGGGGGGAAAAAGTTCTGCCTCCCAAGGTTGAGTCAAGTGTGAGTGGGAGAGGCAAAAATGTCAACAAAAGCAGCTCGCGTGTGAACTTTGTGTTTCTCTGCAGGGAAGAGCCGGGCGCACATGGAAGGAGAGAGAGAGGAGGGAAATCCCAAATCACTGCTGCCGGGGAGGCAAAGGTGAGGGGGGGAAGAGGAGGAAAAGGAAGAGAGGAGGCTCGGAGCCGGCAAGCAGAGAAGTTTGAGCGCTTCCCACTCCTCGTCCACTTCTCTGCTGTAGTCACTGGATCATCCCCATCAGCAGCGGGGGCAGGGGGCAGCTCTGCTGCGACTCGGCACTTTCTCGGGCTCCGGTGGCTCCCTTTCCTTCCTTTGCCCCCTTTAGTTTTGAAGAGAAGGAGCAGAAGGGGAGAGAAGAAATTCAAGCACCAAAAAACGCCTCGATCGTCTCCGGTGAGAGGGCTTAAAAAAAGGAAAAAAGAAAAAAAAAAAAGCCCCACGAAGTGGAAAACGTCCCGGATTTTTGTAAAAGCCCCCTCCCTTTATCTTTCCTGTTGTTGTTGTTGTTATCCCCAGTCCGTCGATGTGAACAAGAGGAGAAGGGAGAGAAATGTGAAGATGAGAGGAGGTGGAACAATGAATTTATAGCGGAATGCCATCCTGCAATGGCAATTTCAACAATTCGTCACTGCAGGCTGCCTCTTAAAGGGAGAGCTTCAAAACCACCACTCCCACACTTCCTTCTCATTTAATCAGACAGAGAGAGAAACTTGAGGGGAGGGGGAAAGAGAGAGGGGGGGCTGAGGGGGGAGGAGAATCGGAGAGAGGGAGCGAGGGAGAGGGAGGCAGGAGAGAGAAAGAGAGGGAGGAAGGAGGGGAGGGGAGAGAGACAGGCAGAAAATGTTTGTGTATGAAAAACACAAGATTTCCTTTGAATCATTTAAAGCCACAGTGTCACCCGGTGTGCGCTGTTTCACCACTGACCGGGGATGGCCGAGCCGCGCGCTTACCTCACCTCCCGCAAAGTGCCCCCCCCGCCACTTCGAGCTACGCTGGCGCTAGTTTGGCGACTTTAAGCGGCAGCGGGGGATTTATGCCTCGCTTGAGTAAGGCGAAGGAAGCGGCCGGGGCTCTCCCGGCAG